GCACCCTGTTTATGTATTTTTGGTAAACCATACAGACTTGGTGTAGACTCCCCTGGGTACAGCCTGTGGTATGAGGTCCGGTCAATAGCCTTGTCTTGTTCTAACTGCTTCAGACAGTCTATCACCCTCTTCCTGTAGCCACTTCCTGGGTCTCGTTTCAGGGGCTCATATGTATTTTCATCACTGAGTAGTGACAAAATTTTCTCATGATAGACCTTCTGGTTTAGCAGTACTGTGCACCTACCCTTGTCTGCCAGAAGGATGATAATATTGTTGTCATCACTAAGTGATGTGAGTGCCTCCTCTCCTCCATGATGATGTTGGATGCTGGGGGCTTTGCATTGCTGAGACAGGCCGAAACGTTCGTCCGTAGTTACTCTGCTTACACTTCTGCAATATTGTTGTTACAAATTGCTGTTTCTGTGGCTGTGATCAGCTCCGCCAGCGGGATTTGTCTCGGTGTGACAGCAAAATTCAGCCCTTTAGCAAGGATGTTTTTCTCTGTTTGGGTGAGCTGTCTGACAGACAAATTCTTCACCCACTTATCCACATCCTCGGTGTCGCATCCTTGTCTCCTCTGGTCACTGAGGACACTCTCCGTATTTTGCGGTGGTTTCCGACGTACAACAAGTAAGTCAAACTTCCTTTGTTGCCTGGTCTTAGACTTCTTGTGCTGTGCTAGACGAGCCTTCTCAGTAAAGTCAAACACCTTTTTTAGACTATTCTCATCTAAAAGCATTATCAGTCTCTGTCGGATCTGCTCCTCTTGAGATTTTAGCATGTCGATGGTAAAATTTGTTTGCCTCACCCGTTCATTAAGCAACTGATGCTGTGCCTTCTGGAGGATTTATGTTGCCTTATGTTAACTGAAGAGCTCATTTGCAGACTTTTAGGAGTAATCCGGTTTTGTCGGCATCTAAGGCTGAATCTCAGGTGGTTCCTGTAGTCCGCCATCGTACGTGCTGTTTGCTCATACTGACGTACAAGCTTTAGGCCGTCCTTGCCAAAGTGGGTCTGTTTATAAGATTGGGGAAACCTGCAGTCAGCTGAGACTGAAGAAGTCACTTGGATGACTGACGAAACGTTTCTCCCACAAAACGCTACGTCCAGATGAACAGAATCAACTTTTCGAGATACAGCCTTAAAAATTAGATTTTGATATATTTATTTCAGAAATGATTCCTAACAAAACCTGAGAATATAAAAGCACAATCAAAGCAGTAAAGTCCATATTATGAAGTGTATGCTGCATCAGACAATAACACAGGTCTGCAACCAAAAAACTGCAGAGGATTTTTTAACTGTTTCTTATTTTTCCTCACTGAAACTTGGAAAAATATTCCATCACGTCAGGTTTTCTTCAAAGCTCATATTTTTAGTTTAATTAAGTGTACAATTTCCATTTTTATACTGAAATCTGGTATCCTATACTTGAGTTAAAAACATATCCAATAATGATTTCTTACATTAATTTCATCTTTCTTACAGCAAGACTTGAAAGAAATACAAATAGAAAATGTGAGGAATTGAGGGGGGTCAGTAGGAGGGGGAAGGTATGGTGGGTTTGGTGGTGTGAGGAGCTCAGATGATCATGTCCCAACAGCTTCATTTTGGTCATCGTGAAAGGTAAGGAATCTAAGAAAAATGATGCACAGTTAATTGTAATAAAACACTGATTTTCTTCATCGCTGTTTCTGTTCCAGGGGTCAGAGATGTTCTACAGGACAAGAGTATCTTCACCAACAAGTTTGGAGGTTCTGCAGGAGCTGTTTTGATCTGGGAGCTTGAATTCAAAAGAGCCTCCTTCTTCTTGCGATGATAAATTCTTCTGAGTGAATGTTGCTGGTGAGAGTGAACAGCAGGGAGAAGCAGAGCTGTGTGACTGCTCAGAGGTCTCCTCGTGAGTGTCATACAAACACTGATGCTGCCTGTAAGCTTCCTGTTTGTGGTTGGAGGAGGAAGGTCACTTCTTTATCACGTCATCAGGGAAAACTTTGAAGCATTTGGCTCATTATCAAGCAGTATATCTGCTTCTACACGGGATATTTAAGAGTTTACTGCATGGGTCCAGGGGTGTCAAACATGTGGTCTGTGTCCATGCACTTTGGCACAATAGATGGCTTTGCAAGGCAGATTGTATCTATGGTTTTTCAGCAGAATTTTCTGCTATTCTGACAGAGGTGATGCCAGCATTACCACATAGATGTGAAAATATACGGACACTGAAGAGTATCATTAGTTTCTAAAATCTTTAGAATGTTTTTTTGTTTCTTTTTTGAAGTTTTAAAAA